CTATTTCTTTAGAACTTTTTATTTCTGTAGAATTCATTATATTTGCTTGCTGCCCATATGATCAAATAAAATTTCTGCTATTAGTGCTACAAGTGGTTCTTTGATGGTAATAAGTTGTTTGTAAAAGAGCGTGAAAACAATGCAAGGTTTGCCGCCATGATAATATATTTTATAACTGAACCTTTACTCCGGTGCTAGCTTTCCCTATTATAAATAAAGTAGCAGTTATTTGATAAGTAATTAATTGTCTTTTCCTTATTGTATTTATAGGTGAATAAGGGGATCAAAATCTGATGGAAGTGCATCCTATATGTTTAGTTATGCTGTCTTAGAAAGTAGTAGTTACAGGTAATATACGCAGAGTGGAGGATTTGGTTTGGACCGGGGGGAAAAGTAGGCTGTTTGGAAGTGTCTTGAATTGGGACATGAGTTAAATGTTTTCTGAGGCGCGGTAGGATCAGTCAGTTGTGTGCTATGAGTGATACACGCTTAGGCGATCATGTATCTTTCGATACATGACTGACGAGGCAGATTTTTTCCCGCAGTTGGTTGGCATTTGTTTTTGCGGTAAACCAGTTACCATCCAAGGTTATAGAACCCGGTTTGTCCTGTTATTTACCCATAGCTGGGGGGAGAAGAAGATGATTCATACTTGTCCCAAGGGTATTAGTACGTAAGCGACTATGCCATTAATTCTCTCTCTCTATTTCTCTCTCTCTCTCTTTATTGACGTTGAATATTATGTATATTCAATAATATATATATATATATATATATATATATATATATATATATATATATATAAATAAAACAAAACTGGCTATTGAGGTCAACACTGATACTTGAATGTAATCTTCGGCCTGAAGTTTGCGTTTAAACATGAAACAGACTGTCGCCACTAGGTGACAAAAAATAAAAAAAAGTCTTCTCATTTTCTTTCACTCTCAGCAAACACTTGCGTCTTAGTAGCTTTATCCCCTTGTTTGAGGTTAAGAAGATTAAAAAATAGGCAGTGTACAAGATATTGTTTAACGTTCTGCTTACGCTTGATCAGCGTGTTTGATTTTGCAACTGCCAATTAAATGGAATTAAATTTTTCTATGGGACGGTCAGGGAATGGTCGAACTCTTTTATGTTCTTTGCCATTTCAGGATCTTAGTTCTCCACAGTTTCCTCTCTCTTGCAACTTACAACTCTTTATTATCTCTCTTTGTCTCCGCTTTGCCATCCATCGACAAAAATAGCTAATTTACTCTCTGCCTCTTGAATCATTAGCGACGACACTTCATCTTGTGCATTATGTGAGTGTGTCTCTGAATGTAGATGTGAAGCAATCGTGTTTTAACTCTTTTCCTAGTTGCGTCACAATACTTAAGGTCTTGTACACAAACTAAGCTACTAAATGATGATATACAGAATTATTAGAAACCTAATAAAACAGTGTTTCAATAACCGATTTTAAATGTGAATTAAGTTTAAGTGTCTAATGATTTTTTTTCTTTTTCTTTCACATTTAACAACTTTCTTCAATTTCAAACATGGAAAGATTAACAATCAAACAACGTGTTAAAGTTATCGAAGCCTATTACGAAAATGGGGCGTTCAAACAGAATTTGAATGAGAAGTTCCCAGGTCGCATCATCTCTCAAAACAGCAAAGCCAATTTGCCACCACAATCGTGCAACTTGACGCCTTTAGATTTCTTCCTTTGAGGTCATCTCAAAAGTAACGTCTATGCCAACAAGCAAACAACAATTCAACAGCTGAAGGATGAGATAATAAGGCATATTGGTGAGATCGAGGAGCAACTAGGCAGAGACGTCATCAAAAATTTGGACCATCGAGTGGAGGTGTGCCGCCGAAGCCTTGGCGGACATTTAGGTGATATTATTTTTCACACATAATTGCCATGACTTAAATAACATAATCCAATAGAGAAATAAATAAATTTTCACTAATATCACTGATTTATTTACTGCTGACTTTGATCCGTCTTAATGAAACACTCTTTATAATATGAAATAAATAAATAAAATTATACTTGTACGAAATTTTTGACATGAAGAAGACAGGCATATTGTTAAAGTATTGTTAAACATTTTTAATGACTTTCTTTACTTTTCCTTTTCTTAAATCGCGCTCTTCACTAAGTTTTGCAAGGGTTACATCAATCATATTCACAATCGATAAATATAATAAATAGACGAGAATAAGCAAATGAAACGAATGTGGGATACGACCATATGGTTCATAAGGCCTTGGAGAGCAATCGCCCTGCTATCACTCTTGTACATAAGAGCAGCCAGGAATGGATCCTGATAGATATTGTGGTATCTTGTTATTCTAATGTGCGGAAACGTCTATCAGAACACCATCAAAGCAGAGTAGGTGAGAATACAGATATACCAAGTCCTGGCAGGGTAAATCGGTGAAATATTCCAAGAAACAGCTCAAGTTGCCGCTTTTGTGATTGGCTTGCTCAGGACTATATTCAGGATTCATTTTGCCCTGTAAGACGTTTTGGTATTACTTGACATCACTGAAAGTGTGCAGGTGACAGTCGTACTTAGAACAGCTCATGTGCCAAATCTGCGTGTAGGTGATATGATTATCATCACTTCTAAGAGTTGCTAAGCAACTCAAATCAAATAATAATAACAATAATAAAAATAATAATAGTAATAATAAACTTGTAGGTTCTATCGCCAAAATAAAATATTCGAAAAGAACCTTAAGAAATTTTACAGGGAAATTGATGATGCGTGCAAACGCGTGCATCATCCCAAAGCTGATGTTGATTGTTTGTATGTACCCAGATCCGAGGATTAGTTCAACTAGAACTGTATAATAAAACTATAACAATTCATCTTCAAGGACACCTGGAAGACGGGATGATGATATGTGTCAAAAAACATGAAAGTAATAAGCAAATTTATTCAGTAATAAAGAAAGACATTAAGTTCAAAATGGGGTTTCAAATGGGTGAATAATTACAAGTAAAGCACAATACACCGAGTGAAGCTGCAAAATACTTAAAAAGGAAAACAAAGGCAAATGCAACCAACCAGATACAGTAGCGATGGCAAGATAATCCTCTTCCTGATCAATACTCTGCCCGTACCAAATAGGCTAATATAGATAAACCTCCTACCTATCAATGGCTACGTAGTGCAGGGTTAAAAGCTGAAATCAAAGCTTTTATTCTTGCTACGCTGGACCAATGCTTGCTAACTAGAAATTATCAAGTACCCATATTGAAAAATTGTGTCAGCCTAAAATGCAGATTCTGTGATAAATATCCAGAAACAATTGACTATCTTGTATCAGGTTGCACGGTGTTAGCGCCCACTGAATATAAAACCTGCATTGTGAGTATGAACACTACTCAGACCCTGTTACGGAGATAGGGCCTGTAAAAATTTTATGGGACTTCACAATACACACAAACAGAACAATTAAAGCTAACCGTTCAGACATCTTTATTAGAGAACGCAAAGACAAAAAGTGGCTTCTTGTTGATATGACAGTCCCTGCAGACTGCAACGTATTTTGATGATCTTCAAAAAGTTATCAAAATACATGGACCTTGAAATTGTAAACTAAAAAATGTGCCACATGGAAAATCAACGATTCCAGTTGTATTTGGAGCCCTCGGATTGATGGGAAAAGATTCCAATAGACTCATCGAAGGGATTCCTGGTAGTTCATGACTTAAAGAAATACAAAAAAATTGTTCTCAAAAGTACAGTTCACAGCTTCCATGTTATGTGTTTTTTTTTTAATTGCCCAGTGGAAAATGTCATGATGCCATGTCTAACCTTAGGTTTCTGGTCGGGACCCGGAGAGAAATGCGTACACATCAGAAATAATAATAATAATAATAATAATAATAATGATAAAATCTAATCGCCCATACATAATGATCAAAGACTACAAAAACAGAATGTGCTTTCTTATTGGCATGTCAGTGTCCACAGATTGGAATATATCTTTGAAAATCTTCAAAAATATCAAAATACAGTCATTTTGAAATGGAAATCTCGAAAAATGTGGCCCACGAGAACATCAATAATTCCAGTTGTAGTTGGAGCCTTCGGGTTGCGAAAGATTCTGATGGACTCATTAAAGAAATCCCTGATAGCCCATGCCTTAATGAAATACAAAATAAAATTTATTCACAAGTACAGTTCACATATTACGAAGTGTTTTTATCTATGTAAAATGTGTCGGATCTTAGTTTTTTTTCTCCTTCATCTTCTTACAAAAATGATCAGTGGAAAATGTCATGAAGCCATTTCTGATCTTAGGCCTCTGGTTGGGACTCGGAAAGAAATGGTTATACAGCAGAAATCGAAAGAAATAATAATAATAATAATAATAATAATAATAATAATAATATGGCAGAGCTCTCAGTGAAAAGTATATCTGTAAAAGAATATGATAAAAGAATTGTCAAAATTGAAACTCTGAGTTCAAACGAAAAAGTACAGAGAAGAGCATTAAGAAAAGCCCGAATAGATTCAGTGTACGTAAATCTTCTGAATATGAAGAATTGAGAAAAAACTCCAGCTTAGCCCAGTTTAAAAGTCGAAATTTGTAAATGAAGACAAAGTGCAGTTTGACTGATTTGACACTGTATTTAAATTAAATCCAGGCCTTCAGAGGTAATACCCGCCATGCCATGTACTCGACTCGTTCTCATTTTCTTTGTATTCCATCAATAAGGAAGAAGTTGTCGAGCAGATAACTGAAAGGATTCTTAACTAATCACTACGATATTAACCTCTCTCTATCTAGAATTAATCACTATCTATCCTACATGATAATATGCACCTCTCAATCTCTCCTTGGACGCTATTATAACAACGTTGTTCAGTATGCCTCTACCGCTTAAGTCTTGTATTATGCGAATAATAGTATAAATCAATGAGAAAAAAATTAAAAAAAGATTAAGAGACTTTTGATGAGGACGATCTTATCTTAGCAGCTCATCATCATACCTCGTCTTGCACTGAGAAAGAGAGAGAGAGAGAGAGCGAGAGAGAGAATAAGTCTGCTTTTGTGGTTTTCATCTTGTAAGCAAGGTTGTCCTTGGCACATCTAGTAAACACTTGGCGAAGAATTATAAAGTGTTCTCATCCCTGAAGGAAGGCGATGCGCTCAAAGTGTGAATTCCTGTTTCAGTCTTTCTTTCCTTCTGTGTTCAACTCCCCATATATATATATATATATATATATATATATATATATATATATATATATATATATATATATATATATATATATATATATATATATATATCGTAGTAAAGTTGTATATAATGAGTAAGCTAGGGATAGCCCCATAGAAGCTGATCGGTGATCAAATCGACAATAATGAGTTTTATTCCCAAGAGATTAGTCGGTTTCAAATTGTGTAAATGCTTTTCAAGTTTCCGCGTAACAAGCACCTATCCTTAAATATGGCATAATTGCAAAGTACCAGGGCCAACAGGGCAGAAATATATATATATATATATATATACCCAAAAATTGACATAATTTTGTAGTCTAATAACAATTCTCGCTCAAATGTTATCAAATTTTAACAAAATGTGTAAAAACTAAATTGACTCTACGGACTTTTCTCAATGAAAATTTCACAGGAACATGGATCGGGCGTGTCAGTATTACTGACAATGTATTGTTGATATGGTCACAACGTTCACCTCAGTTGAAACCTTGTGATTTTTTTCTATAGGGCTATTTGAAAGGTCAGGTCTATCCTTCCCCTCTTCCTCCAAGCCTAGAGGAACTTAAGCAGAGAATCACTGAGGCGCTAGTAAATGTTACGCAAGACATGCTATAGCGTGATTGACAGGAGATTGACTACTGAACATGAAGCCTATATAATTTCATTTGTTTGAGACATGTTACTCAGCTTTTCACATTTTAAATGATGGAAATTTGGGGAATACTTATATATATATATATATATATATATATATATATATATATATATATATATATATATATATATATAATTATTTATTTAAAAATATGATCCCATCGCTACATAAGAGTTCTCATGTTTCAAAACAAGAGCCGAAAACTTCAATATAATTATTTGAATTAAATTGAATTAAAGTACCAAGCTCTGTTACATCTTCAAGCGAAATTTTTTTTGAATAACTACTTGAAATTTACTCGTTTTTATAAGCATATTCATTATTAAAATTAAAATTATTATGGTAACGGCTAGAGCAATTATTTAAAAAAAAGGGCGTAAGGGTTAATAATCAATATCTCAGTTACATTCAAAGAGGTCAAGTCAGGGTAAAGTTGGGGTGTCTAAATTTAAAGCGGAAGATGACATCGTCTAGTCTGGTTAAGTGTTTATGGAGATCTTTTTATTTTTTATTTTATTTTCTTTGCTGAAATGGTTTTGTGTATATAAAAAAAACTTTCAAAATTAGCTAACATTTGTCTTTTTTGACGACTTCATAAAGGTTTTTTTTTTACTATTATTGGGTAGGGGCTTTATATCTATATTTATTAGTGAATATACATATATATAACGTCAATATATATATATATATATATATATATATATATATATATATATATATATATATATATCCGTGCTATTGACGTTGGATATTATGTATATTCAATAATATATATATATATATATATATATATATATATATATATATATATATATATAAGCGACTCAGAGTTTCATGCAAACGTGCAATCTTCTTATGGCAAATAATTCTGACCGTTAGAGCGTTATGAAATTCGCGTTCTCGTATTGATGATTTAAAATTGTGTGTTAAGATCTCTTTATTTTATTATTGTTGCCTAAAATATTATAATTATATATATATATATATATATATATATATATATATATATATATATATATATACGCTGTTTATGTACAATTATTATCTTATTTTTGTGAATACATCCATTTAATGTTAACATGCAATAATGTTAAGAAACAGGCTAAACGATAAAATGTGATAATAGGGTTCAAAAAAAAAAAAGAAAAAAAATACAAATAAAAATAAAATAAAAACGGCAAATAGTTAAACTATACAATACTTAAGGAAAATGGTAAGATTTAGGAACATTAAGATTACCTCCTCGGTTATCCATCGAAACTGCAATCCACCGAAATAAGAAAAAAAGCCAATCCCCACCGCGGTCCATTTCCAGGTGTTGTAAAAAATAGTGTTCAATATTATATAACAGAAATATTAAGTATATATTAGTGAATATACATAATATCCAACGTCGATAGCCTGACGCGGAGTTTCATGCAAACATGTCTTCACGGGCATATATATATATATATATATATATATATATATATATATATATATATATATATATATATATATGAAGAAATATAGTCTTAAGGTGTGCTATATTTATGGAATAAAAGTGCCAATATCAGAGATAGAGCGTGTAAATATAAAAGTGAACATATTTTGAGGGCGACAGTCTATTTCATAATATGCAATCGTCAGGTGGCCTGACGATTGCATCTAGCATGAAACAGACTGTCGACTCTAAGTGTTGACTTTATGTTTACTTTTATATATATATATATATATATATATATATATATATATATATATATATATTCAGATATGTTTTTTCAAGATGTGTTTTTTTAATATATATATATATATATATATATATATATATATATATATATATATATATATATATATATATATAGTATAATGAGAAGCCACGTATACTTTGATTTTAGATTTCGTTTTAATAACCATAAAACAAATAATACGTCAAAACAACCCCTTATTCCCCATAGCTAAACACTACAATCAATCAGGACACACATTAGAAAAAACTGCAAATGTTTATTAATAGATTCCGATTTTACTTCCACATTCACACGCAGAAAAAAAAAGAAACATATTGGATTTTAAAAATTAAATACACATAAACTAGGGTTGAATAGGGACTTAGGTGTTTTAAATCTTTATAAATATTTCAATAGTTAAGCAATTTTTTAGATATAGTAAATTTTTTTTTTTATATATTTATGACAGTTAGATTTAAGTTAGAATATCCGAACAGTGACGTTCCATATCACGTGACGTCCGCGTCTCGAAGAACGCTACTGCTAACAAACAGTAATTTTAATTTATTTGTAACAAAATAGTTATTTTGATGAAAATTGAGGACAATTTGAAATATCAAATATATATATAAATAAATAAATACTTTCATAAAATAAACATTATAATTTTCAATTTGAAACTTTTTTATATATATATATATATATATATATATATATATATATATATATATATATATATATAAAAGATCACTATATCTTATGTCATTTGACAGAAGGGATGTTTGAAATAGTTTCGTTAAAACTGTCCCCACCCGTCTTTATCCAACAAAATATCTTCTTCTCTCTTTTGTCTTCATTTTTACCGTTCCTGACATTTATTTGCCTCCCGCTATTACATAATTTTCTTTTCTTTGCTTCTTGTCTGACTTTGTTTTCTTAAATCAATTTATTTCCCGTGTTTGCTGCATTTAAAGCAGTCTGAAGATGCAGTGTCAGCCAACAGCGAAATAAATTTAAGTTTATAACTGGAAAATACAAATGTCAGGTTTTTTCTTCTTTTAAAATTATACCGCTCTGTATGATTTGTTATTATTCTCATACATTGAACACTCTACTAGGAGTTTTACCTGGATATCCACATAAACAAAGGATTATATATATATATATATATATATATATATATATATATATATATATATATATATATATATATATAAATATATATATAAAGAAAAGAAAGAACAGTAAGATATATAATCCTGTGTTCTTATTGATATTTTTAATTTTTATTTTTACAAAATAGTGTTCAATGTAAATTTACAGAGCATTAACATTATAAATTAACTGATTTAAAATATGTTTTTTCGCTACACAGTAATAACTATGTTTCAAAAATGGAAGCTAAAAGCTTCAAATTTAATTTTGTAATTAAATTAAAACATTAGTTCCATTTCATCCTCAAGTGAATATATATATATATATATAGAATATATATATATATATATATATATATATATATATATATATATATAAAATAAAAGACTAGGAAAAACTTAGCTGACGCGTTTCATCCGCCGAGGGTGTTTAGCAAGGAAAATTCAGGGGATTTTTTTTGTAACAAGTATTTATATACAAGAGCGAAATGTTCTTCGTTTTCGAAGATTTGTAAGTTTAGGAACGCTTATAAATATTTATCAGATTAGCTGAAAAGTCAGGCAAATCTATGGCGGAGACGATGTGATAAAATTCAGTGTTTAATAAACGAAAGCGAGTGTTGTAACCTAGAAAAAGGATGCTGAAGGAGGAATAACCAAAACGTAATGATAATCTTTATAAATCACCAGCGGCGTGAAGTAGATAAACAACTGGTAGTAGAAGACTACTTAGATAGTATATTACCTCCACTTACAATAGTGTCCAACGTATTTATGAAGATTGGAACATACACGTTAGAGTTCATAGATGCGGTATATAACAGTGAGTAAGTGATGGTTTTTGATTTTTTTTAATGCAAATTAATATTTAAATTTTATTCTTGGATTAATTTATGCGCTGTACTAAAATAATTTATAGATTTTATATTTTGTTTCTCGAAGTTCTGTTTAGTGTTCATTTTTTTATTTGTTTTTAGTGTTTGTTTTTCCAGACGCTATAATATCTTTGTTTTTCTAGTGGCCCTAATTCTGTTTTGAATGATCCTTATACTTTGTTTTATTGAGGGTTTTTCATTCACACTTTTTCAAAGTTGTGTTCAGTCTTTATTTTTCCAGGAGTTCATATTCTTTGTTTGAATATCGACCAACTAAATAAATATTAACTTCTCAAACAATGGACAGCAAACTGTTAAATATTTTTTACTTTTGCAAAACTAGATGCAAAAATGACTGGATGCTAGCAACTTTTGTTCACTCATAATATTTCCTAGGAGGTCATTATAACTGTCTCTCTGTAAAGATAAGACCTCTAAATTTACAATAAAATGAGCGTTCCTTATCTGTGAAGGG